AAAGACCTTTTTTTTTTAATATTAAAGAAATTTGAAATGATTAAATGGTAGTTTTTGTAGTAAAAATAAAGATGTTTGATCCGGTTTTATTTTTGAACAATTACAATCTTATTTGCAAAACAAAATTATAAATAACTTCAACCCTTGAATTCAGATATGATTTTTTTTTTTGGTTCACAAGTGGGAGATATGAAAATTACATCATTGCACGTACAACTATCAATGCACATAAATTTTAATTCATAACTAGTCACTATAATTTAGTCACTTGAAATTTCTTTAAAAGATAAGTTTATTATAATATAAAATTATATATAAATTTAATGTACAAAATTCATAATCTTTAAATAGCAAAAACAAAAAAAAACAGCCAAATGAAAAATCACTACATGACAGCTAAAACTCCTATAAAATAATAAAAATAAATTTAAGTATGTTATCTGCATTGACATCTAATGCCCATCCAAATTTTTCACGGAGACTTTTATTAAAAATCTTGGTGATTGGTACATCGTATTTTTTACACCATGCAACAGAGATACGTGGGTCTAGAGGAAAAAGACCCCGTTATGGACCAAGCTGCTCCAATTTGGCCGGCCGAGGTTCCTCAATTCTTGTTTTCTTTTGTCTAGTTTATTGATTAAATGAAACTAGAATGACGACGTGTTTCAATATTGCACCACCACCATTCTTTTTAAATAACTAGAATGACAACAAGTGGCAATATCCACCACCATACTTAAGACACTTACCCTCTTTCAAATTCTTGTTCATTCTCTTTGCTTCATTTATTAATCGCAAATGACATTTTTTGCAAAAAAAAAAAAGTTTGTGATTTGATCGACGCGTACACATCAATTATTTATCCTATTGGTTTTTTTTTTTTTTTTTTTTTGAAAAACAAAAAACAATTTATTTTTTGACAGAGTCCAAGGTGACAAAACGTGAGGTTGTTGTTTGGCTTGCTTGGGTCTCCTAAAAAAATGTGTTACTAACTAACCATAGGTACTATGTTTTATTTGTATTGATATTTTTATTTTAGTTTATAAATATTTTAATTGTAAATCAAAACGCGGAGCAGATCAGTGCTGGGTAATTACAAGATTCTTATCAAGATGATAATAAATGATTGGTATTTTGCTTTCGTAATCATTAATAATAACGTTAATATTAAATATATAATTACAAGAAGATGTCAAGGCAGCACACCATTTAAAAAGAAACATTTCGGTATGCGATGCTTGATTATTGGAAATTTTATAGATGAAGCACGCACGCTATCTTGAACACATTACAGTCATTTTCACACATTCCTCGTGTACATAGGGCTAATCTGACCACGGTGCTCCCGATGATATAAAGATGCAACTGAATTTTCAGGGAGAGGCGCAAAGCTCTGGAATTTACCAAAACTGCATCAATCGTCAATGACACTTTCACTAATATTCCCTCACAACACCAGACCAGAGAAAGAATGACGACGTGTTTCAATATTGCACCACCACCATTCTTTTTAAATAACTAGAATGACAACAAGTGGCAATAAACACCATCATTCTTTTTCAACAACTAGAGTGACGATGAGTGGCGGGCGATCTTTCAAATTCTTCATTTTCTCTGTTTCTTTTTTCTTGACGTGGCATTTTTTTTTTTATTAAATTTTTTAAAAAGAAAAAAAGATGATTTTGATCGATGTGTACACATTAATTATTTATTATTGGTACTTGGTGTTGCACAGGGGTTTTTTTTGTTGACGCGAATTGATTTTTTTTTTTTTTTTTTTGGAAAAACAATTTATTTTTTGACAAATATTGCTATTTATTTTAATATAAATGTGTCCATCTGTATCAAATAACAAATCATTGCCACTGTCAAAGATGAAGAATTGGAACCAGTTGCTTGATTATAATTATTAAAACCATTGCTTTTTTGATTATTTTTGATAAGAAAAAAAAACATCTTGATCATCAGGATCTTAAATTATAAAATTGCATCGCGATGTAAAACGGGGTATATACCATTGCACATCCTTATTCAAGATGTGCAGCCTACCAACGCATTGTTACATTGCGATGTACATCTTGATTTTTTATATTTAATTTTAACATTTCACATCGAATTTTATTGTATTAAAAATTAATAAAAATAAAATATATATATATAAATTCAATTTAAAAAAATTACATTTTTTATTAATTATATTTTATATAATTTAATCATAATAATAATAATAAGCGAACAGGAGAGTCCGTTCTGGTAGCACCATGCAATTATTGATTGACCAATCAAAATCATGAATTAGATAATGTAAAAATAAATGTTGGTTTGGTTCATTTCGTCAACAATCAATTGTTTCGTTAACAAATGGTTTGAATTTAAGAAGTTGGAAGCAACCATGTGGCAAACTTTGAAATAGTCTAATAAATTAAATTGTACTACTCAAAAATGTATTTAAAGGGTTGGTTTTCGACTTGGTTGAAGAATAACTCTCTTCTCTTGACCATATCTATCGATATAATCAAGATAACCTTAATATAATGAATGTCGATGAAACGATTGTAAACACAACCAATATTTAAGATATACGATTAAGACAAAACATGAATGATATATGAAAAAAACAAACAAACTTATTTAATAAAAACAAAATTTACAACCCAAAAAATGTTTTTTTACATGTTCTAATAAAATTTCCATTGTTACATCATTTATTGCTGATTCAACGTTACCCAGATCATCATCAACTGTATTTTCGTTATTTTCGATAAACTCATTTTCATTTAATCTTTTCGTCATAATTTCTTTTAGTTAGATCGGCACCTTTGTAGACAATGATTGTGATAACCATGTCCACACGTGAGTATATACACTACAATTATTCAAATTAGTATAGTTAGTGTAATCACAATATACGTAATTGTAAAAAATGTTTCTAGATGGTTTCCTAGAAGTAACAAAGCCTCTTGGAAGGTGACGATTGGTTATTTCGTAAACTAAAGATGGCAATTTGTATGAGTTAATACCATTAGATGAAGTTTTAGTATTCAAAGAATACTGATTTCGTGCTGATATATCCTCGTAAACACATCTAAAAGCAATACAGCACACTTTCGGGAAAGCATATGCAATTGCTTCGGTGTATTTGGATATTTCATAGAATCTATGAAATGTTGTCGAAAAGTATTATCCTTTCGACTTTTGCATTCCTGTATGATCTGCAAATCAGCATTTCTGTATTAAATGTTACGAGTACAGAACCCATTTGATTGGTAGGGTACTGTGTACTGTATGTTGGTGTATGACTTTTTTAAAAAAATTTCTATTTTGTAGACCATACAGTACTGAATGTATCTATAGTTTGCGTTGTAAAACTAATTTCGTTTAACAGCGTGACGTTAATCAATTTAAAAGTAGTACAATAGAATATACACTGCCTGGAAGAAAGTATCCGAACCTCGATTTTTATTAATTCCGCAAACTTTTACATAATAAAAAATTTTTTTGAAAATATCATCATGTAGCTTAGGTTCTAACGAATGTGTATAAAATCTTTCACAATTCTGCTATTTATAATAATTTTTTAACCAAAAAAAAACGAACTTCAATTAATATAAAAAATATAA